ACCGTACACGCATATGAAGATATTATCGATAGGCCCAGAATAGACACGATGCACAGCCTCCAAAGACTGCTTGCTCGTTCGTGATCTGTTGCATAACTTAACATTTCATGCAGCGCGTTAACGTTCTAAGATCCTATGCTTTGGCGACTCGAAGTTGCAGAATGTCTGTTAAATCTGACGCTTATAAACTCCGCAGTATTGCTCTTGTATACAGACATGCCTCGTTGTATTGCCCTTTGCAGATACGCGATTTTACAAATTGAAGGTTTTTAGAATATACAAAACTATAATTTTGCCTTTCGTTCTGTATGGGTGTGAAACTTGGTCTCTGACATTAAGGGAGGAACATAGACTGAGGGTGTTTGAGAGGTCTCTGACATTAAGGGAGGAACATAGACTGAGGGTGTTTGAGAACAGGGTGTTGAGGAGAATATTTGGACCGAAGAGGGACGAACTGACGGGAGGTTGGAGAAAACTGCATAATGAGGAGCTTCATAACTTGTACTCTTCTCCAAGTGTAATTAGAATGTTCAAATCAAGGAGGATGAGGTGTGCATGGCATGTAGCACGAATGGGGGAGACGAGGAATGCGTATCGGATATTGGTGGGAAAATCAGAAGGAAAGAGACAACTGGGAAGACCAAGGCGTAGGTGGGTGAACAGTATTAAAATGGATCTTAGAGAGATAGGATTGGTTGGTATTGATTGGATTTATCTGGCTCAGGATAGGGACCAGTGGAGGGCTCTTGTGAACACGGTAATGAACCTTCGGGTTCCACAAAATGCTGAGAAATTCTTGAGTAGCTGCAGAATTGGCGGCTCCTCCAGAAGGGCTCAGGGCAACCCTGCGTCGAGCAAATTTGTCGGCGCCATTTTTTCCAACATCATGTGCTCACTTCGTGTCTCTGTGTTATATTTTGGTAATTCTCGCAGTATTTCAAACCCTTTCATTATTATAATATCTGATATGGTGATCGGTAATGAGTGATCTTTGATGTTACTGTTGTAATTGTTTTGGGACGCCACAAACCGCGCCCATATAAGACGGCGAACTTTAATCGATAAATGTTGTGTGTGTTCTGACTGCTCCCCCGACCGGCCGCTCCTACGTCTCTTTCTTTCTCGGCCCTCCCAGTTCCCTGAGAGACAACAATATTGAAATTAGCGCAGTTAATAACCCTACAATGACCCCTTGAAAAGAAGAGTAAATCGATTCGGCATATTTCGTTTTTATCTTATTTTAAGAAATTGCCACATCTACCTCAACCTTCAGCAGCCATCAACATCTACGCAAGACCTTCCACCCGTAAAGAGATTACAGCTCGCTAAAGGCTCAGATGATTGGCACTTTTTAGCAATAAAGTATTGTAATTAAGGTATATACATTGTTTTATACATAATGCTATTGGAGTCTTAATAGGCTACAGTATAGTGTAAACATAACTTTCATATGCACTGGGAGACCAAAGATTTCGTGTGACGTGATTTATTGCGGTGGTCTGGAACCTAACCTAAATATCTCTGAGGTAGTAAAGATAAGCAGCGGCACGCACAAAGGGAGACTACACAGAATAACACCTATACAGTACTAGAAACAAAGAAGCCGCTGCAGCACTATAGACATAGGCCGAGTAACCCTGACAATTTTAAATTTTAAAACTTAGAGAGAAAAAAATTAAAGGATTTAAAACTAGAACTGAAGATTTTATAAGTGCTAATTCAGAGAAATCAAAATTGACGCGTGTAAATAACAAAGATATCAACAAAGTAGATTTTGGTAATAACAACGAAAGGAACAATCAGGAAGACCCATGTTTTTAAATTTAAATGTTATAAATAAGTGCAGTGTAACATACGTGAGTGTATAAACCTGATGATGGCCGTTTGGGGCCGAAACATATAGAGTATAAAGGAGAACAAAATGAAAGACCTATAAATATAGTTTGCACTTAGGACAGAGTTATATCATATATCGTATAAAGCGCAACAGGATGCTTAAATATAATATCTCTGAGGTATGCTTGGCGTAGTAGGATAGAGGACAGGAGAAGCTTCCATGCATGTGCCTGTTGCTTAAATATACGCCGGCTACGTAAAACAAGCAGCACTTCTTCAGACAAGTGTCTCGCAGGAGTAGTGACATTGGGAAGTGCTCAAGATATTTTGATCTTTTAAAAATAAAGTTCCCCCACGCAACTAGCGTTCATTTTGTGTTGGTGGCAGTAAGCCTGCCTATTCATAGGTTCGTCACGCAACATCGGCCCGAATGACGGAAACAGAAATTTGGTAGGAAGTAGACGAACAAGCTCTATGATGGTCAAAAAGTATTTACCCTCCCTTTAGAAAATTGGAACAAGGGGCCCAACTGAGTAGTCGTCTTCCTTTCTCACCTGAAGACGGAAACGGATCCAGTTCCGAAATGTCGTGTCCTCTGTTACCTAAAATTGTGGACGATGGAAAAAGTCCAAAACCCCAGTAATTCTGTGTGTCGTCCACCATCGTCAGAACCGTTTAGAACCTACCAACGTAAGTTGTTTGTTACGATTAAGACATGCGGTGTTCCAATGGCCTGTCAGTTTACTTGGGACGCAACTATAATTAGGTGCGAAGAATGGATACATTTTGGCACCTTCGAAACGAAAGGACAGGTCTGGTTGGGTTATCGGTATCCCAGTAACCAGGGTGAGGTGCTCAGATCGAATCCCGGCTCCAGAATCTGCTGTCTTGAATGTGTTCTTGGCTTTTATTAAGGTCTCCCAGACAGATACTGGGATGGTGCCTTAAATAAAGTAGCTGCAGTTCACCATTCATGCTATCCGTCGCCAAATAGTCTAGTTTCCGGTTAACTACCTACCTCCATGGAGCTGAGCCGTTCTTGAGAAGCCGCCAGTTGTGCACCTACTTAAGAAGTTCCCAGTATTTTATCTAACCCAAGTTCATTATCGTGTTCACAAGAGCCCTCCACTGGGCCCTATCCTGAGCCAGATCAGTCAATTCTCTACCACCCCATCGTTTATCTCTAAGATCCATTTAGTGTTATCCACCCAGCTACGTCTTAAGCTTCGTAATGGCCCATTCTTACTGGCTTTCCC